AGTTCTGGTGAATACTACTATAATTCTGGTCACTTTCACTAAATGGTGTCACTGTGTGAAAAATCAAGTAGACTTATAGTATATGTTACCATACTTTTTTTTCAGTGTTGACATTTTTAGGAACTTTAGGTGAAATTGCGACCAAAATTTTTCGAAAATTGGAAGAAAAATATTCATAATTTACCGGGAAATTCTTATTTTATCAAAGGAAATTTAGCAACGTCTAAAGGTTCTTACGGCGTTTTTCCTTGGAACAGGTAACATCCTCGAGACGTGGAATGACCAGCAGGGGCAGTTGAGGCATTTTGATCCAAAGTTACCAATTACCATTTGACTGATGTGTTCGACGGATCACAAAATGTGCTCATCTTGTGATACATGTCCATCTTTTTAAGTTATATTTTTCTGTTGAAATAAAAAACTGCCATTTTGTTGCCAACATACATGTTAATGAATATTTTCATTTGATAGACTCTTCGGAAATCAGTTGAGATATGTTGACGAGAGTGCCTCCAAAAATTGAAAGTCTCCTTTCAATGGTACTCATGATTCAAAAGAATTTATTGCGGTGCCCAGTCAGGCCATTCCCAACATTTCAGGTTTGTGCACAATTTCACGCGACTATTACGTAAACAATTTCAATTAGTTTTTAAATTGGGTCAGGCAAGCCCCAACAGCAATAGGTTCGACAAGAGAGAGAATATCAGAAATGCATGCCATACAGTCAGATTCGTGGTAACCCATTAAACTTCAAATCCAAGCGATGATGTAGGGTACAGAATTAGTCAGCATTAGCACAAACGCTAGGTCATTAATGTCCAATCATAGATGGTCCGAATGAGCGAGGATTGGAATATACATTTTGAGACTGCACTGTGGTCGTTAGTGTCATTTTTCCTAAAGCCGATCTGAATGAGAGGAAGATATCTTTGCCATACTTAGGCGAAATTAAAGTAAAAAAAAAAAGTATTGCCTTTAATTCTGTTCTTCAAAGTGTCGTGATTTATATATAATTAAAATGTTCAGGCCAAATCCTGCTCTATTAAGAGAGAAAGAGGGTAAAAAGGTAAGGATGAAATATGCATTTAAAAAAGGCAATTGCTAACACTACTATTATAGATTAAAAATATTGATTAAAAATATATAGATTAAAAATATCCAACTAACTCATTTTAATATAACAAAATTTAATTTAAATTACTTCCGTGAACTCAGATATTTACGTATGAGGAGCATTTAAATGTTCAATAAATGACAAATGTAATTTCCAGCTGTACCTTAAGTACACGTACAGTCTCCTCCTTGTGTGCGTTTAGAGATGACTGCAAATCGGATTCAAAACAACATCTTTTGTCCAGTTATATTTCCCATTTAACCAAATGCATGAGTATGATAAAGTAAAATAGGAAGAAATAAAACATTTCTGAGACAGAATCATCGGCGGGGGTAAGTATAAAATTAATGACACACAAGAGTTTAAGGATCATTCCTCGCCTGTGCCACTAAACGGGAACTATCGATATTATCCCATTTGAAGCTATGGTAAAAAATCGATTATTAAATCGTTCCTCGCGTACACACTGAGAATCGATCCTTTTCCATATATATAAATGGCAAATCAATCGATTCATCGCAAAGCCACTGATCGAGTTATCACACAACATGGCAACTGGCAACAACGCATGAGCTTGTGAGATTACGATGAGGTTGAATCGGTGGATGAACCTGCTAAATGTCACAGGAGACCAGAGGATAGGATGACCGCTCAAAAAGAGCGTTAATTACTCGTTTAAGTCATTAAAGGAACCTTGGTCTCTACTGCCGTGCTAAGGAAGAACGCCGTATGAACATTCGAGAGTTGCCAAATTTCCTTCGGTAAAACGTTTATTTATAAGAAAAGTTACGAATATTGTTCTTTGAAATTTTCAGGAACTTCAGGTGAAATTGCGAACAATGTAATCTGAAAAATTGGAGGAAAAATATTCATGAGTTTACCAGGAAATTCGTATTTAATCAATCGAAATTTGGCAACGCCTGAAGGTTCATACGGCGTTTTTCCTTAGCACGGCAGTCTAGGTGTAAGGTGAACCGAACGCAAGGACATTAATCGCTAATTATTGTACAATCGAACATTTTCACTGAGCTTGAGCCAAATCGATTAAATGCACAGTTCTCAATTGCACGCCAGGAGTTCTTAGATCGAATCAAACCGATCGATCCGTGAGAAATTCGAACACTTGCATGTAGTTTATGAAGGACAAATTAACTGATAAGTCGCTTGAATTTGCCACAGTTACTGAGCTATCCTTGAAGACAGGAATGGCTCTCACGTGACTCAACGACCCCGCAAAAGCATGATTTCAAAAAATCGTAAATAATTAGGTGCTTGTACTCAGAACAAATCCGCTGCATAATTAATAGCTCGTGAGCCGTAAAATATCTGGATATTCAGTTTTACGGGAGGCTCATGATCTCATTTGCCCTGGACTTTTTGCTAGTTTTTTTTTTCACGGAATTATTGGGCCACGAAAAGTCCACTTCAATCTTCCATAATGGTGCATCACGGTACATCAATATAAACACCTGAAGCACGATAACTCTGGAGGATAATTTGACCGGGTTTGACAGCAACCGGCCAAGTTTTCTAAGAAACAAGAAGTTTGCTCGATATAGTAGTTGTTTGGCTGAATTTTATGAAAAATCTTTGTAAAAATGTTTTGGTTGTCTAATGTATACTCATTACAATGATCAACCTTAAAAATTCCTACTGCGAACTGTTCATAGCAAATCTGACTACTTGAATGTCACAGAAACGAATCGGTAAGGATCAGTTTTCCTAATAAAATTGATGAGTCGATATGAAGAGCACGCAGCGTTTCGCAAAACGTGTTACTCGAGAATGAAGGCGTTTTAAACCTCTGATCGATGTGAATACTTTCGATCAGCTTTTTTACTGTGGGTATAAATGGAAGGTTCATTCCTCATAGAGAAGTTTCAAAATGTTGTTGTTGTTTTTGTTTTATACATTCATTTACAGGTGCTTCAACGAAGCTGGGCTATGAACACCTGGAGCAGAGATCAAGAGAAGTACAAAAATTGAAAGAAAGGACAAAGAAAAATAAATTAAATTTGGAAATTAAGTCGTTTGAAAAAGGGAGGAATTTAATGAGAAAATGTAAAGACACAATACTTTTTAACATCTGCAGACAGTGCACACTTCATGAGGATGGCATTCTCAAAGTTTAGCAGTGGTACCAATTACTCAATTTTGACTTTTTGGAAGATAAGGTTTCTTTTCACAGATTTGGTCGCACGTCCATAAAGACAACGATCAGCCGAGCAAAAAACCTTCTAGGTTAAAGGTAATTATCTTAAAATAATAAAAAGAAGTGGACCCACATCTCATGAAGAGCGAACTCAGAATCACGCGTCGCAGGCTCGAGCGTGATACATGAGCGCTTGAGGTGTCACAAGCTTTTGAACAATAGCTCGTATTTTTCAGGAGTAATCGGCCGGGGCAACGGGCAGTCAACTACATTTTTACGAGTAAAGCCTCCAAAGCTTGTGCATAGTGGACTAGCAGCGAATATCAAGGGGCTAACCACGATGTCGACCTAGCGTTATTGGAAACAGAGCGAAAGAGTTCCTTGTTGTCAAATCGATTTTTGAGACCATAAACCATCGTATAGTTTACATTGTGATTAAGGAAGATTTTAGGAGATCCTCAGCAAAGCATCATGAAAATCACAATTTTATTGAATCTCGAGTAAAATTCAGCAGAATATTTCCAGTAATAAATCATTGCGAGGGATAATAATGATTTGCCACTGAAAAAATAAAAGGTTATAGAGGAAGAAAATGTGATTTTAGCAAATTTTAAGGGAGGTAATCTGCAAATCTGGATGGTAATCCTGTGGGTGCAAATCTACCTCGATTCTAAATCTACAAAAAAAAATTTCTTTGGTAATTAAGTTGTATTTTGCTTGGTGGTAAATTATTGTAATCCCTTGGGGAAGGGTCTATTTCCGAGGTTGTAATGTTGAATTTCACGCAAAATCTGTTAAAATTGCCCTTTTAATGATGTTATGTTAAAGATCTAAGAATAAGGAGGAGGGATAGAGAGTACACAGAGTAGTGTTGCCATGGCTACAACCTTGGAGTCCCCATACACAGTGGCAACCCTGCTGATGTATTAGCTCCCTATCTGTGCATGTCGAATATGACTCAATACAAAGTTCGGCTTTTTAAGAACTCTGGGGATGCGATAATCGATATCCCCTCGATTATGCCTCCGACTTCCGGAGCTTTTGTTGAGCTTTAGACTTCGTTTCGGACAAAACTGGTGGCGTCATGGTGTTTTTTCAAAAATTAGAATGGGGTGATCTACCGTACTAAGGAAAAACGCCGTATGAGCATTCGAGAGTTGCCAAATTTTCTCCGATAAAACGTTTATTTTTGAGGAAGGCTATGAATACTTTCCCTTGAAATTTTCAGGAACTTTATGTGAAATTGCGAACAAAATTATCTGAAAAATTGGAAGGACAATGTTTACAAATTTTCTGGGAAATGCGTGATTACTAAAAGAAATTTGGCAACGCCTGAAGGTTCATACGGCGTTCTTCTTCAGCTCGGCTGCTTAGTGCCTGAACCCCAAATCTCCGTGGCTTGCGAGAGGTGGGCGAATCGGCAACATGGCTAGGGTGACATCGCTCGCGAAACGACAGAAAGTGAAAGGATCTGATTCGGTATCCGAATAAATGTTCCCGGAGCGGATTTTCATAGCTCCTCATTCAGTTTCAGCTTCAACGCCGAGCTCTTTTTCCAACCCCCCTCCCCCCGGCCCCCTTCGAGGGTCCTTGCACAAGCGTGCAGGAGGAGACCCAGTGACCATCGTGCAGGGACCTGAGACCATTGACCACGAGTATGGAAGAGGGGGAGCTCCGAGAACACTTTGAACCATGTTACCCGTTTAACGCTCCACTTGTAAATGCTTACTCGTATATAAGTAGCTCCCTTCGCTGCACCCAGCGCAGTGCTCACACAGCAATGATTACTCAGGTAAGCCCTAACTTTTGTTTTTTTGAGACCTAAATGCATGTTTAATTAAATGTGATAAAAATTAAGCATCGAATTAACAATGATTTTTAATATTACAAAACAGTATTTAGCTTAAAAAAAAAAAAAAAAAAAAAAAAAAAAAAAAAAAAAAAAAAAAAAAAAAAAAANAAAAAAAAAAAAAAAAAAAATCTGTTCCTCTTTTTTGACTACTTAATATCCACTCACTTTTCCACACAAAAAATCCTATTCTTGCGAGCTAAAGTTACTAAATTTCTTACTTAAGAAGAAGAAGAAAAAAACCTGACTTTCCTCAAAAATCGCTTTCTGATTTTGACGAAATTCCATGATCCTCCTGAAGAATTAACGACTATTTTGGCAAGATTCTCCGACTTTATCCTGCCTTTAAAAACGGGAATTTCACGGCCGACCAACGCGACTGACCGCCTGGTGCCGTGGTCCTCTGTGATAATGAAATAATTCCCGGATCTCCAACACAATTCCCTGACTTCAGTCTCTCTGACAACAACTATTGATTATAGGACATTTCGTCAAAGATTTTTTGTTCGCGTACCAGTTTTTCCAGTTGGCTTACGTTTACGCGTTTTTCCTGCACGGGAGTTTTGGTCCACACACCAGTTGAGACCCAAAGTTAATTGGTCCACATGTGAATACAAAAGACAATTTATTGCTCACGACGTTTTTGGATGAAAATGTAAAATATTTTGGAAGAATGAGGGTTTGCTTGTTTTTTCCACGTTTTGTTTTCCTTTGGTCCAACGGAGAATAATATATAATTGAGATATTAGGTAATGATTGGGGAGCGTTAATTCTATGAGACAAAATTCACTAAAACTCTCGACACCTCTTTGGTACAAGAGGACTTAATTATCTTTCAAGAAATTACTACCTCGTTATACCTAACCGGGTAAACCTTTAGATTTGCCTCAGCTGAAGGCTCTTAGATTTTTTTTTGTGTACGATAAGTATCTTGATTTATTTTGCGAGGAAAGATCTGTACTTTCAAAGGATGCATGTCATTCTTAATACGTTCAATTTCGTATAATATTGTGCAACACCTCTGTTGTGAAATAGTTCCTTAAGGCACCGCCGCACGACGGGCGGGCAGCCAGCGCAAAACGCGCATTGGCGCCTACAAACCTAAGTGGATACTTCAAGCATTCCGCAATGCGTGAAGTATCCACTTAGGTTTGTAGGCGCCAGTGAGCCTCTCACGCTGGCAGTACGCCACTCCGCTCTGTTTGGCTCTAATATTTATACTCGCAGAGTCAGCGTTTTTTAACTCATGATTTTGAAATGTTTGCACACTCTGCATGCATGAATTATTCTCTTAAAAATTGATGGGAAAAAAAAATCTGTATCAAAGGAGAATATAATGTGTGTTCTTTAAGTATTGGTGGTTCCGTGTCAAATTTAATGATTTCCGAAGCATTTAATTTTTTCTTTTACATTTTGTGCTTTTACTGTTTTACTGTGCTGCAGCGAGGTGTACGCGCAACCAAACGCTCAAAATTTGACGTTTTTTCTCTAAAAGATCGATGTACAAATGGGTTAAAACCAAAGATTGCGTGCTTCTTGGTTTTTTTTCCTCCTTTATTCATTTTTACAGTTTCTTTTAACACAACTGCGGCTCATTGAGATTAATTTCGATGCCATCACTTGGAAAAGGTTTTACAAATATTTGTCACGTTTAAAAAATGTAAATGTTTTCAAAATGAAGTAATAATTTCGTTAAAAAAATGAATAAAAAGAAGTACCTATATATATATAAGGTATATTGTACATCGACAATTTTAAGGATAGAAATAAGACCAAATATTAACCAATGACAATTTATAAAGATGAATCAGAAGAAGAAAGTAACATTTTATATAAACAAGTAGCAAAAGCTACCTGCTGAGGGGGCGCCGCCCCCCCAGACCCCCCCTTTCAAATTATATATGTGAGACTTTGAGTATCATAGAAGTCGTGCGGCGACATGCCGAATGAAATGCCACAATTAAAATTATTGGATCAGATGATGAGCTGATAAAAGCCTTACCTAGTAATTTGGGAACATTTCTGACACAGTTTGGTTGCTTTAACTATCACTTTGATTTGCGAAATACAAATCGTTTTCACTTCGTATGTAGTTNTACACATATTGAATTACAACTTATATTACTAGACCTTACGAGTCTTTACAAATTTTCCTTTAAGCCTAATATAATAAAAAAGAAATAAACACCGCTTTATGGATTAAATTAATGAGAATGAAAATGAAGGATGAACAAATGAGATAGAAGTAAAATCCTGTAAAAAGCGGGAGAAAAACTAACTGATATTAACTATAATTATTCCTAGAACTAGATTCTAGAGAATTTTTCTACTAACTATGCTTTCGCCCTGTCAGTCGACTAAGACTGGTAAGGGCCAGAGGCACGAGCCTAACACCGACGGAAATGAGCTGTGCTCAACTCATGTGGTTTGCGTCTTTTTAACCTCCGGGTCTCGGAGCCCCAATCCAAAAGCGCTATTGCTTCGGGATTGGGGTGACCGCCCAGTCTCTCTTCATATCTATTGTACATACGTGAGATGTACATGTCCATCTCTTCGATCCCGAGCTCATCTCTAATATCGATGTTACGCTCGTACCACCTGGCCCCTGCCATTTGTCTGAGTATTTTATTTTGAATTGTCTCAATAATTTTGAGATTGGAACTGGCGGCACACGCCCAAATCTGGCAGCCGTATACCCAGATTGGCCTTAACATTGATTTATAAAGTAAAACTTTATTTTTTAGCTTTAATTTAGATCGCTTTCCGAGAAGCCATAGCATCTGTCTGTGCTTTAAGTCAATTTGCTTTTTCTTATTTAGATTTGAAAATGTGAAAAATTAGGGGTGATTTAATAATCGCAACGGAGCAAAATTTTGCATTATATTACTGACACTCTTTGGTTAATTAAGAGTGCGTTTTTAATAAGTGACACATATATAAAAGGTATCCTAATATATTCTAATTTTTTTTTTGTTTACTCTTGGGCCGTTTCCGATATTTAGAATACATGATTAAGATTGTAAATAGGAGAGAAAACAGGAAAACAGTACTTCACTCGAGGTACAATTTTTCCAGTATTTTTTACCTCACGGCAATTTTTCTGAGGGTGAAAATGTCCATTAACAATTCTGAACACATAAGTTTTCAAATTTAATTACTTGCTTGTGATGCATTCAGACCAACCGAAGTTACAGTTTTTGGGGTATTTTGAGGGGGTGGGTGCTGGCTTATGAAATTTTGTCCTGTTAGGAACCTGGAGCCATCTATAGATTAAATTTATCGTCCGTACACATCAAGGCTTTGGGGACAGCTATGCTCCAGGCTTTTCGAATTTTCACGGATTAAGGCCGAGTAGAATCTGTTTCGGCAGATCCACTCGTTAGTTCCGTAAAAATGTGACGCCAGTACTCGGATTCGAACCCGGGATCTATATTGGCTTACAGAGCGTCAAACGCGCTGACCTCTAGGCCAACCTGGTCAGCCGAAGTTACGGTTTGTGTAATTGAAAGATCGGTTCATGTAACCGAATTCATGCGGTAAAGTGAATTGATGAAAGAAGGTAGGTTACATGAACCTACCGTTCAGTTACACGAACTGAATGTTCGGTTTGACAAATCGAATAGTTGTGGTCTAAACTTGTTTTCCAGTGTGCTTGGAACGGACCCGAAACCCATCGATTCACACACTGAAAAAAAAATTCTCGGCGTTTTTACCAAGGTCCGTTGGTACCTTTACCATCTCACTTCTTTTACCAATTATTGGTAATTTTACCAAGACAGACTGGTAAGCTTACCTAAAAACCGGTATTGTTACTGTTTTGTTCAGGTAAGAATACCACTTTTATTGGTAATCAATGCCATTTTATCTCGGTAATTCTACCACAGTCGATAAAAAATATTGGCGTTTTTACCAAGGTCCAGTAAAATTACCGCGAAAGTTCAATAATTTTACCGAGATTCTTGGTAAAATTACCAATTCCATAAATGGTAATTTTACCAAGAAAAAACTGGGATCAAATAGAACCCTGAATTCTTGGTAATTTTACCCTTTTCTTAGTAAATACACCGAAATTTTTTTTCAGTGCAGGGATACCACAGAATTTAAAATATGAAATTCCCTGACATTTCCCTGATTTTCCAGACACATGTTTGTGGAATTCCCTGACAATTGAAGGTATGATAGGTGGTCAAGAAGACATAATTGAAAGTATTTTTCAGGCAAAATTTGCTCTTCGTACAATAAAGGTGATTGAATAAATTTTCTCTGACATTTCCCGGTTTTCCCGGCATTCTCTGACTGCGGCAACCCCGATTCACCCGATCCGCCGAATCACCAGGTTAAAAATTGCTCAAAAGCTCTCGAGGCAGGGCCAGAACTATTTCAAAAGAGCAGAGACAACCGCACCCCGCATGCATTCCAAAAACGACAAGATGTAAATGGTGACCGCACGAACACAACATCGGAGTTGCGATCCCGCCGCTTCGACGGCGGAGTCCTGTGGGACAGACCTGGTCCGTCCTCGAGCGCGCGGCAACGGTGGGCGATTCCCGACGGAACGTATTTCTACGTCCCCGGTCGGACGGACGATCGGGGCGAAACAAAGCGTCGATTCTTCGACTAATGAAATTTTGCAAGTCCCCGTAGTCGTGACACTCCACCGGGTTGCAACTGCCCGTTGGCAAATCTCGAAGCTTGCACTCCGTACCCGGCGGCGCCGTACAGTGGATCGAGTCAATTAGAGATAGAGTACCTGTACAGGGAGAGTATGGACACTTTGATTTATAAAGCTCTTGGGGCCCAAAAGAGCGACAACAAGAAAAACGAAAAACACTTAAAAACTGCCGCTGCTAACCTGTGCATTTGAAAGAATAATCAATAGGGCCGACAGCGCATTCGAAACAAGCGTTTTAAAGACTCAAGACACTGAAAGTGAGAAAATTAATACAAAATCAAAGTTTTATACGTTTTTTTATAATTTTTGATCATAGTGTATATCGTTAAAATGAGAAAACTGATACCACTAGATAATTCAAGTTCATAGGTTGACTGCCCATTTAGGGGCCCCAGGGCTACATGGCCTGATCAAACCTAATCTCCAAATTTTTGAGTTGTCCGTACTCTCCCTATAAGGATACTCTGATTAATGAGGTCGGACATGAAAGTTTTGAATAAAACTGCAATTTTTGATGTTTATTTCTTCACATTATTTCAAGGGGTAAACGAATGGAGCCACTTTTAGAACCTTAACATTTTGTATAAACGGAGTTACAAGGGATTAAAGTTTCCAAATTCTGTCCGACCTCTCCTAATTGACTCGATTTACTGTGCGCCGTATCGCCTCCGAAACAGCTCGGGAAACCCTCATTTGAATCCGAACCCGGAGAGACAACACTGCCGTAGATGTTTCCATTTGGACGTATTTCTGCCAAACAAAACTACGTGCATTGAGGAATAAGCCCTGAGACCCATTAGAAAATATGCACAACAAGGCTCACGTCATAAAACACATAGTTCCGTTTGGCAGAAATGGATACGAACGAGGACCCGATCGCATCAGTGGCGTGGCGCGCTTTGCGACCTATCGATTGATCTACCATTTAAACCTATGGAAAAGGATCGATAAGCAAGGTGCTCGCAACGTTCACTGTAGTAATCGATTCTTTACCTCAGCTTCAAATGGGGAAAATCGATAATCGATAATTATCACCTAAGCTTTGAGAATCGATGGTTGAATCGTTATCGAATTAACTCGTTCGATAACTCCCTATCTTGACAATGCTATATATCGATCAGGGTCATTCGATAACGATTCAACAATCGATCCGCTGGTTTGCAAGAGCGTTGTTCGGCAACGGTGCACCCGTGGTCACGTTCCCCATCTTCTGGGCTCGAAGATATTGACTCCGAGATACGGGATTTAGCCCGGCTACCGAGTGTGGGTCAGAGCAGTGAGTCTCCTTGATTTCGATCTACATTAATTTATTAATTTAAATTTAGGATCGCTTACCAATAACGTTTCGACAGAGGGAGGTAACATTGTTGGATAACAGATCCTGAATAATCACCAGTGGCGCAGCGTGCTTTGCGGTGTATCCATGTCATTTAAACCTATGGAAAAGGGTCAACAGGGTGTTCGTAACAAACACCTTGATGATCGATTTTTTACAATAGCTTCAAATGGGGAAATATCGGTAGTCGACCATTCACCCTTTGCCGCTGATAACCACTGATACAAGGGGAGGGTGTTTTCTTTGATTTTTAAATGGATCAGTTGCGCTGGTTTTCCGCACCACACTAAAAATTTAAATTCCAAAATTTCTCCTGATATTCATAATGTTTGATCGACGAGAACTTTTCTATTAATCTGATGATTTGAGCATTCAAATATGTCGTTCAAGCGGTAGAGGTAGAGATTCTCGGTTCAGGGTTGCCACAAAGTGTAGGAAATGAAATTCCCTTACATTTCTCTGATTTCCCCCGACTCTTTTCAGTAAGATTCCCTTGCAATTGAAGATGTGACGTACGGCCAAAATACATGATTTGAAATAATTTCCATGCAATTTGTTGATCAAACGTCAAATCCACTCTAGAAAGCTAATGAAGGAAAATTTAAAATTTTCCCCTGACTTTTCCAGGTTTTCCCTAACATTTTCCGGTTTTCCCTAACTGTGGCGACCCTGTTCTGCTATCCATATTATTTGGTCGACAAAAGCTTTTCTATTAATCGGATTCTTTGAAAGTTCAAAAATGTCATTCGAGTGGTAGAGGTAGAGATTCTCGGTTCCTGGAATAGGCTGGTTCTTCTTTTCCCGGATATCGGTCACCATCATATGGGTCTCAGGGTTTTTCATCGATATTTTTTAATTTTCAATTTATATTCCGACTGAAAATGACCCAGTTTTCAGTCGAAACGTCCCAGGTTTTTATATTGTTGTGTTTTAGCATTGTTCCCCGTTTCCCCTTTGTTTTTCTCCTGTTTCTGGAACAGCTTCCCTGATTTTTCCTCAATTTTCCCTGGAATTTTACATTCCCAGATGAATGAGGATATTCTCCAGTTACCCAAGTTTTAAGCACGATGCTAATTATTGTGTTTTCTGATGTGTTGCAGCTCATATCTGTGGCCACGCTGATGGCGGTGGCTCGGGCCGGGTACCTCGGGGACCCGGGGCCGGGCCCCCTGGCGCACGCGTACGCGGCCCCGTTTCTGGCCGGGCACGCGTACCCTGGATTTCGATACGCGGCCGCCGCACCCGCCCCCGCTCCTCCACCGCCGAAACCATCATTTCCAGTATATAAGCCAGCTCCTGCACCAATTGCCTACAGTGCTCCCCTGGTACACGCCCCCAAAGCATACGCACCCGCATACCCTGACGCCTATCCGAAATACAATTTCGACTACAGCGTCCACGACGGGTTAGTATCCTCTCATCTTCTTCCTGCAACTATAGGACGTTGGTATAAAAATATAACCGGCTAAGAGTTAAAAATTCGAAAATTGAGTTCACTGAAAAAAAAAAAAAAACACATTGGATCTAGAGTTCAGACTCTTAAAAACATCGACAAGAAAGAATACTCTTGATTCAATCAGATTTAAGCTTAAATCAAGAACCAGCCTCTAAATTTGAGCAGATTTCCTTTTGATTTAAGCTTAAATCTGATTGAATCAAGAGTCCTTTTTCTTGTCAATGTTTTCAAGAGTCTGGACTCTACATCCAATGTGTTTTTTTTCAGTGGTTAAAAATTCGAAAATTGAGTTGAACATACATGCCATTATTGCCATCCGTTCTATTAAGTAAGGACGCACAACGATGCATAACGGGCTATTGGTCAACATACTTCAAATAGAGCCTTCAATATGTTTGAGGTCATGGATGTAATAGAAGATAGCCATTTTTCATGCGTTCAGCTTTAGGTCTATCACTGTCGTCAAAATTCACACAAATTCCCCCCAAAAATTTGAGAGATCATTCTTTTTCCTAAGTTTGAAAACTTGGTTCTTTCCCCCTTGGGCCCTTGAAAGTCCCATTCAACTTAAGATTTTTATATTTTTGAGACCATTGGTGAATTCAACGCTCATAATTACAGACTATAGCTATATGATTTCATGCGAGTTCGGCCCATAACTTGCAAGTAACTATAAAACTTCTGAAAAATAGCTGTTACCCATAATTCTTTGCGTTAAATTCATAAATGACCTTAAAAATATCGAGATCTCAGGTTAAAGGAGGATTTCAGGGTTTTAGAGGAGGTCAAGGATCTTTCATATTAAACAGCTTGGTTCTCTCCCCCTTTGACCCCTGTGATCTCCCTTAATCTTAGAATTTAAATATTTTCAAGGCCATCGGCGATTTTCACGCTAATATTATGGGCTATAGCTATTTTTCATGAGTTTCGTCCATAACTGTCTTCAAAATTAAGAAAATCGATGATTTTCCAAAAATCTGGGGGACCGAACTCCTATTCTGCCGTGGTAATGAAAACCGTCGTGCAAACATTGAAGAGTTACCTTTCCTCCAGTAACATGTTCATTTAAGGAGAGTAATGCATACTTTCTCTTGAAATTTTCAGCTAATTTAGAGATGATTGCGAATCAAAGTCTCTAAAAGATAGGAGGAAAAATACTTGCAGCTTTCTCGGAAAATTGGTTCTTTAACGAATTAAATTTGGCAACGTCTGAAAACTCGTGGTAAGTTTTTTCTTGGCACGGCAGTATAGTCTGTCGATTTAACGCTGCGAGCTGATTGTTGAAATTGGTAGACTAAGCGATAGAGGAGAAAAGGGATGAAGAGGGATCATATTGGTTGCAATATGCAGCGGATGTTGCAATGGATAAAGGAGGTAGGTAATAGACAGAGACAAGAGACCCTCCACTAGTATCTTGGCCATGGTGGAAGCTTTTACTTTCGGGACTTCAGCAATCTACTGTTGACTTACCTACATGGTTGATGTTCAACAGCGTGTTGGCAGTTTCGTTTTGCAAACAAGCCGAAGATGGCCGACGTTTGGGAAAGTTGTTTGGCTCATGACGTCACCCGAAGCTCATCATCGACCATGTAGGTAGGTCAACAGCCGAAATTAGGGTGATGACCGTTGCTCCCTTATAATTGTCCATAAGGAACTGTTGAATCCCCGAGAGTAAAAGCTTCCACCTGTCGCCAACAGGCCAGTGGAGGGTCTCTTGTCTCTGGTAATAGACTAACTAACGGCAACCCACGAGAGACCCTTTAGTTGGCCCATCATTTTCTACTATGGTCTAAAAGAACCACCCATTTCAATCAATAGGATCGCTCTATACTCATTATGTCTTTTTTGTCTATCGCTTTGTCTATCAATTTCAACAATCAGCCTGCAGGTGTCCCTGACATCGTATTCGAAGCCCATGACCATGAGGTATTTTTTCTACTGTTTTGTTAAAAATTGTGATTTTTATGTATTGTACTTTTTTTCGACAGGTATACTGGGGATACGAAAAGCCAGCACGAGACTCGGGACGGGGACGTGGTTCAAGGGTCGTACAGCCTAGTGGAGCCGGATGGGACCCTGCGGACGGTGAACTACGCGGCCGACCCGGTGAACGGGTTCAACGCGGTGGTGGAGCGCTCCCCGCCGCACGGGCACGCGCACGCCCCCAAGCTCTACGCCCCCGCCCCGGGCCCGGGCCCCCACCTCCCCTACCACGGATAACCCCCGTCCCCGCGACCCACCTCAGCGACCACGTTGATCCTCAGCACGATGCCAAGTGTGATACATGACTAGCATGGCTTTGTACATACTGCTAGGTTAAGGAGTTTCTCACTGCAATAAACGGAAAGCGTTCACTTAAAATCCAAACAATCGTTTTTTTATTTCACTCTTACCCAATTACGCGTTTCGACTTAACTGTGCTAAAGTTTTGCCGGTAAAACCCAAATATCAGAGACAGTGTAGCGTCGCACAGTGGATCGAGTCGGACATGAATTTGTTTACTAAAGTTATATATGTTGATGTTCACTTCGTCATGTTTTAACGTGTATGGAGTGCTTAAGGAGGAAAAATTTACGAGAAAACTAGTGGAACCACTTATAGAACCTCAAACTTTCGTATAAATGGAATTATGAGCGTTTAAAGTTGCGGAATTTCGTTTGACCTCTCCTATTGACTCGATCCACTATGCGCCGATTATCCGATGTAATGTGGCAGAGCAGGTCTGTGTCGGGTAACAAAAATAGCGCATAATCGAAATCACGAGAAAAGACAGGAAAAAGGCCATTTCAGGCTCTGTTTGTAACCAAAGGCCACACGGTTGGTCAATTTTCTATCGTATTAGCAAAATATGGTTATTTAAATGAATAAAATGGCAAAAACACGCATATCTTCAAGTTTTCCGGTTTCTGCCGTGTCATGTCTACAAATGGCACGTATTTCAATGGTGTAAACGTCGCACCGAATAAGCAAATAAACAGATAATTGAGGCTATTTTCTATATTTACGCTTGCTATGTTACAAATTTTTGTACGCATTTCA